ACTGTCGCTACAAGCATGCTTAGTGTGAGGGATTGCATTCGAGTCAATTAGTCGATGCAATCATTTGGTTTTCCTTAGATAGAAAACTTTGAATCAATTTAACTGTATGATCTTGTGAACTGTAAAGTGCTTTAAGATGACATGTGTTGTGAATTGGCGCTATTTAAATAAACTGAATTGAATTTAATTATTCTTTTAGGAACTCTAAAACGCAGTTGTAATTGTTGCTTCTTTATTTTTATTCTATTATTTAGTTCTAGCTTTTGATAACTTTTTTATCTCAGTTAAGGGCTTTGTTGAGGGAGTGTGCATGTGTGAGTTTGGTTATGGTCTAACTGTTTTACGACTGTAGTTGGCCAGCTAGACTGACTTAGGCCATGCATATTCAAAACACAGCTCATCAGTCTGGGTAGGCGTTGACAGTCCAGTTTAAATCTGACTGAACAAATCAAGGCACAGGAGCAGGGGCACATCTAGAATTGGGGACAGGGGGGCATAGCCACCTGTAATTGGCCACCCCTATAGCGACCCCTATAAGGGGATTTGATGTTGATGTTGCTGTAATGTTATTCACCACCTGAGAACAAGCAATTATCTTCTAAACCAGAGGATGACAGCAGTGATATCATCATTCAATTCAGTTTATTTCTATAGTGCCAGTTCACAACACATGTCATTTCAAAGCATTTTACAGTTCACCAGATCATACAGTCAAATTGATTCAAAGTTTTCTATCTAAGGAAAACCAGTTGATTTTATCAACTCATTGACTCGAAGGCAATCCCTCACCCTCATCATGTGGAAGGTCCTGCTCTGAAATTTAAAAGTTAGTATGTGACCAATAACTCACTACAAAAATACACCAATTAATTATTCACTACAATATATTACAATTTAAGGGGACTAAGAGTTTGTTTTTATGTTTTATGGGGTACAGTTAATCTCTGTAGTTATCTTGTCTTCCATGTAAATGAAGATAAAGAACAATGGCTCAATCCATTTAATGTATATCTTTTGTAGAACCATACATTCTTTTTCAACTGTATCAATGTTTAACATTTGCATAGCTTATCAGTTTGGGCCTAATGAAAAACTGGTCTGCTCTCATTTTTAATCAATGATTATAGATTTACCCTGAACTGGTTTTAGCACCTATCAGTTTTCAGCCAGCCCACAATGTGCATGGTCCTTCCCTCCCCATTCCTATGAAAAATTTCTAGAACTACTGCACATGAGACAGGAATTAAAGCTTACCATAGAATTATTTTATCTTTTCTGTAACTATAAATTCCAGTTTATGGCCACAGCTGAGTGATATCTTATTCACCCTTTGTTATGTCCAGAAATAGCTGGATATATTTCCCACAGAATATGACAAAAGGCTGCTGTAAGAGCCTTTCTTTGAAAAAAACAAACAAACAAAAGAACATTTTTGCATCATACCTGTAGTTATCTGACTGGTTCTAACCTGTTTCCACTGATTCAGTTTGTCCTGCCCTGGTCCCACCTCTACCCACTCCTCTCCAGACTGATTTACCATATATATATATATTTTAAACTGGCAAAATGCTAAATACAAAGAAAATTAGGGAGAGGAATATTCTTTGTAGTCCTAATTAGTTATTTTTAGTCTAATAATAAAAAGAAAGCTAAAAAAAAAACTAGAATTAAAAATACATCTAGACCATTTGAAAAGAGACAGTATTCTTATTTTCCAGGTGACTATTTTTCAAGATCTAAGTCTGTCTGAAGTCGAAGGGTTGCCTTTATTTGTTCTATGCAATTTACCTCCTTCAGCATTTGAGACCACTCGTCCAGTGTGGGCGGATGGGGCTTAAGGCAATTTATTGTGATCATTTTATGTGCAATCAGATGTACAGTAAATTTTAATCTTTTAATATGGCATGTAAACTGTAGATCTGTTCCAAACTTTGATCTAAACTACGGTATACCTAAATACTCAAAACAGATTTGAGCATAATTTCTATCTACTAAGAGATATATGTCCACATATATCTGTTATTGGCACAATGAACTGCTCCCCCCTACTCATTCCTTTTTTTCAAGCTGCTTGAGATATGCCTACATTAAAATGCAGAAATGTATATACCTAGTTTGCTCATAAAATAGAGGAATCTGTATTTGATGGGTTCAGTGAGTCACTCAAAGTGTATGCTTCTAATGTGCTTCTAAATTCCATCTAACTCCACAGAAGGAGCTTTTTATTAAAGGAAGTGTTTTGAACACTGGGAAAAGGAACTGATGAAAAGAGGCAGCAAAAGGAATAGTTTACTGCTGAGTCAATATTGATTTCACTGGCTGAGCTTCAGGTTTTTCTGTCAGCATGACAGAGAGAGTGAGCAAATTCTACTTCAGACCACAGGAAGACAACTCCTTGTTTTATAGTAATCCTTTGTGTTCTCCTCTCTATCCAAATGTTTTGTCAGTGGGGCGACGCCAGGTGTACATTACGCAGACTGCTGTTAATGCTGGAAAAAAGTCAAGTTTAAGACAAGAGATTTCAGCACTGATACACCAGTATACATAAAGATGAAATTGTGTAAGGAAAATCCCATTTCCTTAACTACAACCCTGAACTAACTTTTGGTTTGTACAGCACATGTAGACAGACCCAAAATCCAATTTTAGATGTGTTTTTAATATTTTATTCAGTATTTTCATACAACATGGGCTTTTTTTTGGGCTGTGATGAAAACAGAAAAAAAAGACTGCCTTCTTTTTCTAACAGTGTGTGTTTGCCCGACCTACTCTTTCTGCTATTACCCTCAGTGCTGACAAATACAACAACTGAAACTATCTCTGATCTAGTGTCTATGACTCATCTAATGAGTCTACAGTATGACCTGCAGACACACAGTTTGCCTGCTCCAAAAAATCTTACGTGTGTCTGCATTCTCTTTCTATAGATTAATATTCTAGAAGCTCGGATAAGCATAATCCGCACTACTTGGCTTTGGAAATAACAAAAGAGCTGAATCTGAAGGTGGTAGATGAAAGTAGCGCTCTTGAGATTAGTCGCTGCATTGCAAGCATGGGTGTTTGCCTGTATCCCCAGGCAATCGGGGGACAAGTAAGTGCACTCCTACCTGTCAGTCACTGTTGTTGTGCCCTATTACTCCCATCTGCCTGCCTTAGGATGGTATTAACTTACATGCAAGCAAATGTCAAAACACACAGTCACTACACATTTAGACCTGCATGCTTAGGTCAGGCTGTGCAGATCTACTTGATGTGTTGTCACTTAGCCTACCATCATGTTAATCTATATGTCGTCAGCTCAGTTACACAGTTCCATCTATGTTTTGATTAGCCCTTGACTTTCTTCCACTTTGTAGGGTTTTTCTTTTGTTTACATTTTCCCTATTGTAGAGTTGACTCACAGATCAAGTATCACTCCCTACCCCCAAACACCGCCACCCCACAATTTCATTAACCCCTTTGTGCAACAACACACGTGAGCTGTCTGTGGCCCATTCACATTTAGCAATGACTGGAGAACTACATCTGAAAAGAGTCTCACATAAAGGGTGCATACACATCGCTGTTGATTTGGAGCGATTTCACGTGACATTATGTAAGAGATGTTTTGAGATAACATATTTAGACACGACCAAAACATTTAAGAAACAAAACCAGAGTATTGGAATTTTTTATATACGGTCGTGCTTCTTCTGAGAAATCTCCATAACTCTGAGGAGAAGAAGGGATTTCAGCTGGAATACGTTTGTGGTATAGGATTAGTGTTCACAGATTTTCAAGGACACATATGCAATTAGTATTTTGTGGTTGCTTATTCCCATATAATTCAATAAATCTGTCTGCATGCTAGAAATCTGGTATTGCTTTTCAAAAATAAAGTGAGAGCTCACAATTTTCTGAGTCAACATTATAAAATATAAGTCCTCAGTTCTAGTCACTGAAGTTGTATAGATACAGACAACAGAATAAGGGGATGCACAATGATTTTCTCAAACTGAATTTTAAAAAAAGAGTTAATAATCTTCTGTCCAAAGCAGGAGAGATCGCGAGTCAACACACAACTTCAGCTTCAACAGCTAAGACCACTGATTAGGGCCGAAATCTTGGTGTCATGATGTATTCAGACCTGAACCTTCAGAGGTACATAAAGGCAGTTACTAAGTCAGCATTTTATGACCTGAACAACATTTCCAGGATTAAAGGATTAATGTCCACACACCTATAAAAACTAATTCATGCAATTATCTTTAGTAGAATTGATTACTACAACAATGTCTTCCACCAGTCCATCAGGCAGCTGTAGCTGAGCCAAAACACTGCTGCCGGGTTTTCACTAGAACTAAGAAAGTAGAACACATCCAGGTTCTGAAGTCCTTCCACTGGCTCCTTGTAGCTCAGAGAATAGAAAATCATTCTGTTAGTCTATATATCACTGAAAGGATCAGTACCTCAATACGTAACAGATTTGTTGCCAGTGCATCAACCTCACAGACCACTCAGGTCTTCTAGTTCAAGTCTGCTCTGTACACCCAAAACTAGAACCAAACATGGAGAAGCAGTAATTAGTTCCTATGCTCCACTTATCTGGAACAAACTCCCAGAAGACTCTAAAAGTGCTAAAAGCCAGAGTTTTTTTTTTTAAATTTAAACTTAAAAAACGTATTTATACCTGCCTTTGACTATTGAACTTAAACTGTTAACTGAGGTATTATAAGTTTAAGGTTTTGGTCTGACTGTTTTTGTTTTTTTTTACTACTTGCTTTTGTCATGCTTTATCTTCATTTGCTTATATTCAGCTTTTATTTTTGTCTTCTATTTTATTGCTTGATTCATTTAGCATTTTGAATTATCCTTGTACTGAATTCAAATAAACATGCCTTGCCTTCAATTCTAGTTCTTAAGGCAGGGGTCCTGCACCTTTTTGATTCGTCTCTGATTTAAAACGCCTGAGTCAAATAGTCAGGTAATTTTCAGGATTCTCAAGAGCTTGATTGTACTTTAGCCATTTCAATTTGAGTGTGTGAAAATAAAGACTCATCTAATAGGTCCAGGACATTGGAACTTTAGGATAGTAATTGAAGAATCCTGGTGTACAGCTTTGTATGAATTGATTCACATTTATTGTATATTTTAAGACATATAAGATGCAGACAAATTGCTCTAGTAAGTGCTTCCTTTTTGTGAAGCAAATCAATTGAATAATTCCAGTTGTCCTTGGAGAGGTACTGTTCATGCATTTGCATGTTCAAAAGTGTTTGATTTAATCTGATGCAATATTTTCAACTTCAAAGCTTGACTTCATCATCATTTGCATGTCTAGGTGATTAATGTTTATATGTAAATAAATATTGTAACATTTTTTTTTTGTGAGCCAAAACAAAATGTCCCAAGAGATAAACACTCTGCTGGCAGTTCTTTGTTTCTTTCAGATAAGGTGGAGCAAAGAGTTTAGTTAAAACAGTGACATGACATTGTTTGTGACCTTAAGGACTTAGATTATGTCTTCTTTAGACCGTTTATAGAAAGGTGCTAATAAATCACAAATCAAAAAGCTTTTAAAAGGTTTTATTATAATCAATGTCAGTAGGTGCTTTTCTTTTGAGAATAGTCATACTTTGCCACAAAAATCACATGTTCCATGTCTTATTTTCTGTAGACAATTAATTATCAGGCCACACTTAAACATGGTCACTTTTACACAAATAGTGTGTTTTTTAGCACTTATTTGACATAACTTCTGTAAACTCTGGACCCTTAAGATAAATATTATGAGCAAACCATAGTAACAAACCCCACATTTTTGTAAATTCCAGTATTTCAGCTTGTTATTGAAAGTAAAATTAATAAAAATGTGTCTGATAAAAAAACTATTTGTTTAAAGTATAACAAAATAAGGAGTCATAGCTTATCTGTATGAACAATGACTTTTACTGCATTCTGTAATGTGAGTGGAAGTAATTAGTTAAAGTTTTAGGGCACCATATGTTATTAGTCTGTACTCTGTTTGAACTTACAGGCTGCTTTCACTGGATTAAAGGTTATTTTCCAGCACTAACAGATAACTTGACATAAATTAATTTGTACAACCCATGAGGTAGAAAATATTTGCCAAGTTCCAAAAACAACCTCTTAGTTGAGAAAGTACATGATCATTTTTGAATTAGATCAAGTTCCAAAAAAAGTCCGTAAAAATGTGAACAGCAATTCACAGCAAAGTATATGTTAGCATCCAAGACTGTGCAAAGTAATTTTGGGGCAATAACCAGCAAGTCATACACATGTTTCTGGAAAGTAACTTAGAAGTTCTAGAAGTTTCTGATAATTTTTGCAAAGTACAAACAAGGTATATAGTATATTCTTAAACAAACCAAAAGATATTTGGTCTAAAATAGTTTTACATACCTGCTTTCAATAACCTGCATAAAAATGTCCAGGGAAGTGCAGGAGGTACTCAGTAAATTTCTTTGGGAAAGTCACTTGTTGGTTATGAGTAAATATAAGTGAGACAGTATCTAGTAAATTTCAGAAAATACCTGGCAACTTCCCTAAAGGGGTATCTAAGTTTTAGGAAATTAACCAGTAAGTTCCATGAAAGCACCAGGAAAGGACCTGTATTTTTTTAAATATGATCTTTGTCTTTTTGAAAACCAATATCTCTTTTCCTCCGGCTCCACCTTACCAGGCTCTTATCCACCCTACTAATTCTAGAACCTTCTCATTACTGATTTTTCAGTATTGGTCTTTGATTTTTTTTCTTCCCTATTTAGGAGATGTAACACTCTGAGATGAGTAGGGCCACAAAAAGCCAATACCAGCACTGAAAAAGCAGTACTGTAAATGTTCATAAATTGGTGGGGTGGAGCAGAGCTCGGCCAAATGGAGATGCAGGAAAAGAGGCAAAACTGGTAAGTTACGAAAATCAACCACTTTGGATGTTATTATCCCATTAAATGGTTGATATTACCTTTTATCAGTCACATAGAATAGCTGCAGATAAAGTTATTATCTGCACCTAAAGTGATTCTGTTTTAACTGCAGAACTAATTATTCTATTTTTGTGTAATCTGAAAATAATGTTAGTAGTTCTTCATCTGCTGTAAAAAAAAAAAGTTGATCGACATCTCGCACATATCGAACAACCCCTCCCAAAAAATTCTCATATCCAGTCAACTGAGTTGTTATTAAACACCACATTTAATCAGTGTGACAGAATTATATGGAATTCACTCGAAGTAAAGCTTTAAAATGCATTTATTTTTGGAAGGTCAACTGTAAATAAAAGTTTTAAAAGAGTTTTAGATGTGGCTGAAGTGGCTATTATTAACGATAAGTTGCATATTATCAGAGATAAGAAACCTACTGGAAGGTAGACGAGACCCAGTCTGAAGCAATTCTATGGGACTGATAACTGCTAATAACTATTTAATGGTTGATCACATCCGAACCAGCTACCCAGATAGAACCTAAAGGAAGGTACCCTGTAAGAGCCAGAAAGAATCTGGTACGGTGTGAAGTTTAACCTCTATAAACTGGAATGCAACCACTAAGTTCCGGTAGAATGTGGAATATCATATTGTGCAGTATTACCCAATTATTGTTTTTAATGCCAGTTGTACATATCCATAAAGGCTGTGGCTTATGGCCGTCTTACATTTTTCTGGTCAGACATGAACTTACACAGACTCACAGGGGAGTTACATGCTTGCTTAAATGCAAGGTTAAAAAAAGATGATTGACTGTTGCCAAGAAAAATAACTTATTTCTCAAGAGTTAGAAACAGTTACTTATGTTGTTCTGCCAGGTCAGTGCCTGTGGTCATGGAGTAAAGACAAATAGCTCAGCTAATGCATTCTGTCTTGTGGAGATGGAGGGTCTTGATAATAACGTATTAAGCAGGGCACCTGGGTGTTGCTGAATGCCTCATTAGGGGGGGTCTTTGTGTGAAAAATGCCTGTGGCTAGAACCATCTGCTGCTTTCTCGTGACTCTCAGCAATGTCTGCCCTCAAAATTGTATCCTTGACTCAGCTATTTTTAGTACATGATCACTTTTCCTAATTTTTTCGTAGGCAAGCAAGAAGATTATGTCTTAGTGTTCAATCATTGTAATTAGGTCATTAAAGATAAGATATAAAGAGTGAGTGTTTGATTTGTGAACTGTAAACTTGTATACACATATTTCAGGTGGTTACTCTTAAGGTGTTTTGTGTGAGTACTTGGCTGCCAGGATCAAATCTGTCAACATCTCCATTAAGATTGTGTCCCATCACCCCCTGCACCGCCTGTCGGCCATGCTGCCAAAGACAACAGGGCCTGAAGTTGCCAGGAAACAGTGGTGTTAGCTTAACCCACATGGTTTTAGCTGTCTATTTCTGCTTGTTCTCACCTCTCCCTTCCTCCTTTTTTTTTGAAATCATATTTTGAATATCTGCTGGTTTTGGTAATTCTGAATCCTTCCCCAATGGATGTATTGTTTTTAAAAGCCCCTGACATAATGTCAACATTTTTCCTTGCAAATGCATAAGTCTGTATTGCTGTGGGATGTTGGCAGTGAACCTTCAAAAAGAGAACCATCACTCAACTCTTTTGAAATAATCTTACTATTTTCCCCAAAATACCTAAAAGGGGATAAATTATGTCCTCTGCACCATTTCCATCCAGCGTGGTTAGTTCTGTATCGGTATTTCTAATTAGATAGGTGTAAAATTGTCTCAATTTAGCAGATTGAATAAACTATTGTTTTTATAAAGGCCTGAAATACTATTTTTCAAAGCAACAGGAAACTTGCATCAATGCTCTTCTTTTATGATCATAGTTGTTCTCCACTAAACTTAAACTTTAAAGAACATTGAAAACAAAAAAACAAAGTAAAATTTAAAGGAACTTAAAATAATTAAAATAATCTAATTTCCTACCTTATGTCTGCCTTTTTCATGATAATTTATGTAATTAAGTATTTGTATTTATATAATACACAACATCATTTAAAAGATACAAAAATAGAAATAAAAAAGTGTTTTCTTTGAAAGCAATTGAGAGTGTTTTTTGTTAGTTCATTTTGCACCCTGTCTATCTGGAATAAACTTGGTAAACTTCCTACACATCTGATCTATCAATTTAGCTTGACATTGTTTATGCCCTTGTGTGACATGGTGATGTGTGCAATCTGTGGTAGGTGTGGGTGGTAGGTAATGATGTCTGCTAGAAGCTCAAAGGAAGAGGCTTTTTTGTAATACATTGATAATTATCCTCATCAATTTTCTGCTTTATTGTTAGCCTCTTGACAGAAACTGAGCGGGCAAGGTGGGGATATGGATCTGACAAAATTTAGGGGTTAAGATTTTCTAACCAAACATTTGTCTTAAGAATGAGTTGAAGGGAATAACCTACTATCATTAATAATAGTTGTTAATAATTGGGGTGATAATTAAGTTAGTTCATAGTTCTTTTGGGTAAACAGCTTTTGTCTTCACTAAATGTTTGCATTAAAATCAGTTTAAAGAACTAAAAAGAGCAACTTTACTGTATGATGTTTAATGAGACATTTGCTGACAAACAATTGAGTTTAGATCAATGCTGTTATAATTATCATAGGACTGAATAGGAAATAGCAAAATCAATCAAACCAGTTGTGCCTTTTAAGGAGTGTTTGAAATGATTTGTTAATTTATTTATTTTATTTTTTAAAACAAAACAAACAATTTTAAAAATGAGAAACAACAGTTTGGGATTTTTTTTTCAAAGTTGTTTCTTTAAATAATATTAAAAAAGGAAAGCAGTTCCTTTTTTGTTTCCCATTTCCTACTTAATTTATTATGGAGAAAACCTATAAGCATATAATTTCATAATTTCATTTTCAAGTTTTGGTTTTGGCTCTGGGGTAACCAGGAAGTAAATCTATGAGAGAAGTCTGAGGAGCATGACATCAAGCGCTCCAGTAAAGAACAATCAACGTACTGTAAGCTTAAGAATTTTTGCAGACTTAGCCATAGGATTATTTAAAAACGGTAAAAGATCTGCTAAAATATCAGGTATGTTGGTGCAATTAGGTGTTTCAAATTTTTCCAAAGGTCTTATTGAGACGGATTTATATGATGCCCATGTTTTTTCATTAAAAGTCACGTCACTGACACTCAACTTAAAATTGCTGTCAAATGAAGAAGATATTAATTGCTCAGAAACTACCATACTATACATCATGTATATGTTATATATCCCCCATATTTAATTCAGTTGGTAAAAAAGGAACTGCTTTCCATTTTCCTTTTTTAGATGTATTAAATTGAGAATGAAAATAAATTTTTTTTTGCATTTTTTTATAGTTTTGATTTAAGAAACAGATAAATAAGACATGGACAGTTTTAACCCTTATATTTTCAGTTGTTCATAAGAAGAAATGTGTTCTGTTGCTATTCAGACACACTTATTACAGAAATCTGAAGTTTTCTTGGTAAATTTTCAAGCAAAGATGTTAATGTCTCATGATGGTGCACTCACCACAGATGACTTCACTTTGTGGTAACAAGTTATTTTTGTTTTTTTCCTCTCTGGCATCTTTATTATCATTTGCTGTAAAGTCCTCTGCAACGACATATCTTATCTTCTACTTGATGTAAAAGAAGAGGTGACAGGGTCATTGGGGTCATAGTGGATGTATTTACCATGAATTCGAGAAGCAAAGAGTTAAAACATCTATTTGGAAAGGAAATGAAGAAGAGATGAAAGCTGAAAGAGTAATAGCCTGTGGCAAAATACTGAATGTTACTGCTTTCTTGGTGTGACCTTTGTTTTTAGCAAACAAATTTAAAAGGACACAAAAGCAAAGCTGTTGACATACAACAGCTGATGTAGGGTGAGCAAAGGAAGAGGAGATGCCTGCTGGGCTCCTTGGTGAAACAGCTGAATGGTCTAATACATCCTTTGTGAACTCATATGACAATGCCCACATCCTCATGCACACTAGTTTCTGATTGCTCCACCCTGTTGACTCGTTTCTCTGTTCTCTTCAGATTTGGGAAGAGTGGAAACAGAACAAGGCTACTGCTCTCACCATGACGACAGGAGACTCTGGAAATAAGAGTCAGAATAAAACTTGGGTTCCTTTCTGTTTGCCTGGATGTAATTATGGTAGAAAAAGAGCAAGGACCTCAGTTTTATTCCATCCAGTGGTCCCATTTGTGGGACTGATGTTGTTGGCCAGGATCCCTTTTGGAGCAGGGATCAAACAGAGTGTCCCAAGAGTCAAACTCAGCTACAGAGGTAAGAATCAGAATTTATTTATAGGCATGCTAATTTGATTGTTATTGCATATTTCTTAATGTTTTACATAAATCTCTGTCAGACAAGTCACACAATGCAAAATAAAACTAGGGTTATTGACACTGAATCAGCTGAAAATTAATACTTTGCTTTTATTGAAGTTTTTATTGAACATTTTCAAAAATGAGTTATTTTGGCAGTGCTCTTCTAAAATACGCCACGCAACTCTAATCACATCTCATAACTGACCACAAAAAATAATTAATGTTCCCTTATTGTGAAACATGAACAGAGAAAAACTAACTAAATTACCCAAAGAAGATATGACAACAGATGAGATAGTTACCTCAAAAAATGTAGTAAAAATATTGAAAGCAAAATACTAAATTAATCTTTGAGGTTGGATGCCTCCTTATCTTTTCATCACCCACTGGGTGGGCCACTCCAAAAGAGATATATTACTTTCATTCAAAAGAAAATAACTGGTATTATAAAGGAAAAAAAAACAACAAGATTTTTTACATTATTTTTTATATTACAGGTAGCTGCTACATTTCAAGTTGGTCCTGTTGAGAAAGAAACAGCCATCTAATTGTGTTCATATATTTTAGACCGGTTGCTTTGTCACTCGTGAAAAAAAAATGCACTTTTAAAAGCCCAGTGCAAACATACTGTAGCTCCAAATGGGCTTTAAAAAAAAGCAAAACAAAAAACAAAAACTCACAGATGAACTTCAGTCTTGCTCCATAAAACTTAATCCCACAGTGACCTAAAAGTAAACTCACCCTGACTCCAACCTTTAGAAGCCTTTCTTTAAGTTAACGCTTCCAAGCCTCAATGAGGCTGGAAGAGACATACACATGCATTTTTACAATCCAACATAAATACACTCAGGAATAATGATGGTGATGGCAAGTGTTTAGTCAGTACTTGAGGCAAAGATTTAAGTCTGCACTTTGTCTCAATTTATATTTCATCCAGACTAGTCTGTGTATGATTACAGATAGATTGCATTACCTTTCTTGTTTGTGTCATGTTTTTCTTCTCAGCTTTTTGAATATGATTGACTTCATGCTACTGGTCATCTGATTATAAAGTCAGCTACTTTTCCATGGGCATAATTGGGGATGAATATGTCCATGTTTGGCTCTCTTTGCCAGCAGAAGCAGGGCTTAAAGAAATCCATCAAAAGAGAGTACTTAACCCAGCACTCATAGCATGCACGGATCATCATCATCTCATCAGTGCAGACTGTTAAAAAGCAAAACCGACCCGCAGTGATCACTCATCAAACAGCACATCATTCCTCACTTCCCCCTGTGAAAGCAAAGCCTCTATGAGTGAAGGATGAAATGATCAAAGGCAAATCATCCCTGTTTGAGTGAACACCTTCAAAACAAGTGCCTTCAACTGCTTAAGGTTTGCCCTAGAAATCCCGTGCTGATAGATCAGTTTGATCTAGAGCACATTTAAGGCTGCATTGCTCTCTGCTTATCAATAGAGAAATCATCTAATGTATTTTAATTGCTTTAATGGTTTTACTTGCTATATATTAAGATGGCCTTTCCTTAAATGTTTACCCCCTTCCCCCCAGATGTTATTTTAAAAAACAATTTTTAACTTTTCTAATAGAAATGCATCTTTATATCAGTATAGTGAATTGACCCAAGTAGGGACATCGAAATTGTCATCCACTGGTTCACCAGTCTGCGGGAGAATGGGGAACAGAGCAGTAGATCAGTTGTAATGGATTTTTTTAAAATGGTACAGTGTGGTCACTTATTTTAATGCAGTGATGAAAAAAACCAAGGTACATAAGGAACCATAATTGACAAATCAGTTGTAGAGATTAATGACCTGTATGATGATTGGCAAACACATGAACAATGACTAAAGAGTCAAGTATCAGAATGTTAACCCTAGCCCATTTTTGTAAAATTTTAATGTTGTTGGTAAAGTAGCTAAAATACATTCGATGACAATAAATAATTTTTAGTGAATTATTTTCAGGAAGCATTCTGGACACTTTCTGATCCGTATTGTCTTTTTAAAGAATCTATTCCTCTTCCTTCGTGAACATGTTAAAAGATAGAAATTATCCTACTTTTTGTGTGCAATCACTGCGATTAGTTTGCACAGCTCCAATTTTCTATAAAACATTGTTTAAAACAATTTAAGGGTTTAAATACATTTTCTATAAGTGTTAATCAGATGTGTCAAGTAACAAAGTACAAATACTAAATTACCATACTGAAGTAGAATCTTGGCTATCTGTACTTTATTGGAGTAATAGTTTTTCAGACAACTATTTAATTCTACTTCTACTTACATTTTGTTTTATCTCTTCTATTTATCTATACTTTCTACTCCTTAAATAATAATAAAAAGTTAGTATTGTGTGATTTAATTTTTTTTATGATGACCTGTTGGTATATAAGAAAAACAACAAAAAAACATCAAAATAATTGACTTCATCCAGACAATTAATTTCTTTTGGTTGGACTCGGTACTGCACCAACTTGTTGTTAACCACATACCAAAATAAATAGTTTTTCAAGAAGATGCAAAGTCAAATTTGATGCTGTTACCATTACTTAAAAAACAAAGAAACTTAGTATAAGAAAGTTATGATCCAGAATTTTAGCATAACTTTTAACTTTATACTTTACATAGTCTTAAAAATGGTACTTTTACACTTTTACTTGAGTAAAAATCTTAAGCTGTTACTCTAACATCTACAATAGTGTTTTTAAACAGCAGGATTTATACTTCTACTTAAGTAATAAACATAAATACTTTTGACTCCTCTGCTGTTAATGTATCAACTTCTAATGTATAGCTGTTTTTGCTAGAATTTGATGCATTTACTGCTGTGAAAATCACTTTACCATTCAAAGAACAATAATAGTCATCTGAATCTAAATCTGAATCTTTTTGTGGACAGAAGCTTTCCATTTGGTATTTGACAGTGTGAGCAAACATTTTAGGCAAAAACATACTCTTTTCATTTTCCCAGTGCTTCATAGTTTAATTAATTAGATGAGGTTCTTTTTTCAACATGTTGCATCAGATAGCTCAGTCTATATTCATAAAATAAGGCAAGAAACTATAGCACCTTGTCCCATTTAACAATTATGCATCTTAGGCAAGGGAAAGCCTCCTATTATAAACCCAAATTATGCTTTAATTTACCTTTCTACTTTGCACACAAGAGGGATTTATATTTGTATCGCTAATGGAGCACTTTCATGCAGCTGATTAAATAACACCAAATTCTAAGATTTGTGTTGATAAACTAATAGCCTTGTTAGGAAATTAGCCTCAGGCTAATTAGTGATAATCAAACTTATCATCTGATTGTTATGCAAAAAAAAAAAAAATAATTAATTAATTAATTAATAAAACAAACAAAAAAAAACTGTCAAATAAGTGCAGGGATGAAGTAGAATCAGTTTTGTCAATGTGGCTGCAGTGAAACTGTGGTTGTGATTATCAGAAGGCATTAATCTCTGTGTTTATAGAGAACTTATTGGAAAAAGAAAACAATAGCAATATAAATAATGTTCCAGGTTAGCCTTTGGCCATTCAAGATCTAATGCATTTCACAGCCTCCATAAACACCAGTTGTGTGGAGCCCAACACGTTAATCAGCTTGCTGAAGGCTAGTTGTGGAGTACAACATTGAGGAGCAAATGCCACACAGACTATTTCAGTGGACTCATAGTGCTGTGTGTTTACAGAACAGATTATTGTTAGCCAAAGGCTGGAGGGTCTAATCTCTCTTTGAGGTTTAGTCTTCTGGGGGCATGAGGTGTGTTGGAGTGAGAGATATGACCATGTGGGGGGCTCTGTATGTAAGAGCCTGTATATAGGAAGAGGTATTAGGCAGAACTGTGTGGTGTGGAGGGTTCCCAGAAGTTCAAATATTGAAGGTTCCTAACCTCTCCAATCCTTCACACCATAAGGGTAATCACGATGTCAATCCTTTCAGAGTGACTCCCACAGGACTCCCTTGCTCTGACCCAGTGTTTACTCAAGGCATGTTGCTATAATAGTGCACTGAAAAGAGCCTGGTGATGGAAAAGATTTCCTCAGATCAAGGAGATCAAGGACTCAGTGCTGAGTCCATTGTAGGTCTGTTCACCTCCAAGAAAACCTCCACTAAGATTAGTCTGAGACAGGGGGAGCCCAAGACCAAATAACCCATACTATAAAGGATTGAACCATGATATGTGCTTATATTTTATCTTTTTTACTGGCAGACATTAGTTAACATTTTAACTTACTATGCAGTTAGGACTTTGAAAATTATTTCTTTTTGCTGAGTGTCACAATACTACAATTGTATGTAGATTTTTAGTGATTACTTGATTGATGATGCTTAAACCACAAAACAGGCTTAAAACGGAGGAAGGATTCGAATCCTTTACTGTCGCTGAATGCCACTTGGAGAGGAAGAAGTCATTACATCAGTAAATAATTAAAACTCAGAATACAGTTTGCAGAAGTAATCTGGCATTTTTATATATTTGGATAAGACTGGAAAGGCTTGGGACACAATGTGAGCTTTGAACTACAGAAATGTCTTCATCAATTGCATGGGTGTTATATTTTGGGTTAATTAACTTTGTAAAATACATTTAATCATGAGAAAAATATATTATTTGGAAATATTGACTCCTATTATGATATAGTTGCTGAGCAAGAAATGTTTCTCGTGCCTTCAACTTTGTAGCCAGAGTTGATATTGATGCTAATGCTCAACCATCTAGGGATGGTGTCCAGTGGGTAAGTGGAGGGAACCTTAGTGGGAATCCCTTTGAATTATTAGGTGCTTCTTTCTAAAATTTTGTAAGAAAGAAGAAAATTGTGGTTAAGAAAGTGGCTTTAAAAGCATGTGATAGGTGACCTATCACCAGTGCTAAAATGTATTTTCAAAGTTAACAAGTTTAGCTTTGGAGTTGAACCACAATGGATTAAGTTAAACTAAGCCAAGTCAAGCAAATACTGTTTTTCTCCTGACCAGACATCTTTGTACTTGTCACGAAATACTACGTTTATAAAAGTTGCTTCCACTGAAATGAGTGCTGAAATTTGACCCAAGGTGGTGTATTTTTTAAATGTAAACTATGTGCTTGCAAAGAATTTTAAAATCCCTGTTTGTGTATCTCTTGTTTTGGATCAGAATTGCTTCAGGCTGGAAGTACGTATTTGTTTTTGGGTCCCGCTGATGGCCTGCACTCCCACTCCATTCTGCTGGATGAGGAGAGGGGTCGTCTTTTGCTTGGAGCAAAGGATCACATCTACCTGCTGGACCCAGAGAATCTGGCCAAAGCCCCAAGAAAGGTATGGAGCTCAAAAGAAGAAAATAAACAAAGATGATGGTGGAAGGACTCAAATCTAAGCTGAAAAACAGATATTCATTTCCTGCTCTTCAGACGTTGTTTAGGAAGACTTTATAAGTATTTACAGAGGCTTTAAGCACCCTTTGATGGAGTAATACTTCTAGAAAATTTACTCAAATATGGTTTCTCCATAAACAGTAACTAAATTACTCAGTTTAGATCCATGCTGTGGGACATTTAAAACGCCCTGACCTTGGTTATTTGTTGAGAGCAGAAAAGTGGAACATGTAGTCATTTAGCCTCATCCCATGACACTTAAACCTCTCCTACCATTAAGTGAGCTGACGTAAGGCACTTTTTTCCATTTCAATTTGGCTAGAAAGCACTCAGGCATGTTTTGTTTTAGAGAAGCGCTCACCTTTCAGTCAGCAACAGTCTGCATCTGTCTGTCTGCTGAGGTCAGGGCTGTCATGTTCGAGGGCACATGCACACTCAAACTACCCGACAACTGCATACATAAACAATTGTAGAATATGCACACTTCCTATTATGCGTTTACACAAACACATGCATTCAGATGGGTGCCATATGCTAGAGTTTGTGGATATGAGCGTGTGTTTATGCAGCTGAGGTTGATCCATCAGTGGGAGGACTGTTTATTTGATCTTTATCAAGTTGTTCTAACTGATAGTGTTGCTCTCAAAGTGTTGCCTTGCTGGTTGCCTCTTGGGCCATTGATGCTGATGCTGAGGGAGATATCTACTAAAAGCTTAACACTGAAGTTTTTATTATCAGCTGAGGTTGTGAAACTTACCTTGAATTAGGTAGAACAGAATCAAAGCACACTTTAATTCTCAGTCTCTGTCCTGAGGTTCACATTATCTCTCATTTGATGTGAAGGTTTTACTACTGTTTCTATGCTTGTCAGGATGCAGGGGCAAAACCAGATGTGGGATAAGCTGCACATTTTAACTCTTCAGTTAAGCCTTCACACAAGTACAAATTACATTGTAACACTGTGTTTTCTGTGCAAATTCCTTAGCTATGAATCATTTTGGCGATAGCCCTCCTTAGCAGGGTTAGAGGAGGTAACACTAAGCAGATAAGCTTGTTATAACACATGTATGAACAAGGTGCAGCACATTAAAAGACCACTATAAAAATGCTCTCTTTCTTTCTAGCACTTAAAATGTTGAATAATAGGTCAGAATATAATTTGTTTGATCTTCTGAGCTGAAGAAGTACCATAAGCTCAAAAGTTACTATAAGCACCACTTTTTAAATATATTTTAGGAAACTGTTTTAACCCATCTGGTCCTAGAGTTCAAGCTGCTCTTGTTTTAAGCCCTAAAAAGCCTCTAAAACGACTTCAGAAGACTCTTGGGTTGCACTAAATCTGGCCCTTGGGTTAAGGGGTCATGGGTGCTCTCGGTTCTTCTTTTTAACAATGTCTATAAAATGTTATATTTGACTTTACAAAATTTGCATTTTACTTTTAATTATGATGCCCACCATGGTTGTGAGTTATTGATTCCATTGCCTATTTTTTGTACTGTGCTAAATCTTTTGAAGACATGTAGACTTATGTAGATTAGAATGTTGAAACATGTATAAAATGCATCTAAAGCTTCATACTGTGGCTACAATGGAATAGCTTAAAAACCATCATATATGTATCTATCATCAGATCCACTGGCCTGCTCTAAGGGACAGAGAGGAAACCTGCAAACTCGCTGGTAAAAGGGCAAATGTGAGTATTTTTATTCAAAAATATCACCCTTTCAACTTCATCTACTTTACTTGGTCAATCCACAAGCTGTTTTGTAAGATTAAAATGCTTTTCATTCCACGTACTGTCATACTGTAGCTCATCTTTCCTCTGTTATGTCTGTCCCTACTTGTTCTAGTTGGAATGTGCTAACTTTGTCAGAGTCCTCCACAATTACAACCGGACACATGTCTATGCCTGTGGGACAGGCGCCTTCCACCCAACCTGTGCTTTCATTGAAATCACTGGGGACAAAGAGGTGAAATGCAAATAAGTAAATATCAAATGAACATTCTTTGGCAGCATTTTGTTGATCATATTAAATAGTCTAGGAATATTATCCTGTTTTCACCTACAGGATGGTGTTTTCCAGCTGTTGCCTAATACAGTAGAGTCTGGCAGGTTGAAGTGTCCTTTTGATCCTTTGCAGCCATTCGCCTCAGTCCTTTCAGGTAAAATAATGTTCGGTTCACATATTCAAACAGTGAGCCTTTTGTATTTCAGGACAGCCATGTCATTGCAGATTCAAATTTTAATTCTTTTATTTGTTTTCTAAGCTTTCGTCCTACAATGCCTCTGTGTTAGAAGTAGACAGGTTGTCGTTTCTCAAGGAATAAGAAAGTAATATTGACTAAAGTCATAAACAATTATAATCATGTTCGGCATCCTCTCTGTCATTTATTGTTCATGCTGACAGAAACCTTGCTTTTTGGCATTTTTTGGTTCACATTAGTTCAGAAACGAGATAAAGTAAGGCAAGTTATTATAAATCGTACATAATCCTCTAGATTGTGTTCTTGTATTGAAAAGCAGGTAAAAAAATGTGGACATGGAGATATCACTAGAATATCTAATGAAATGTATTTTTATACCTTGATTTTTTCCACTTTTTATCATGAATACTTGCCTAGAATGAATGTATGATATTCAAATATAAATAATGCAAACAGTTTTTAATTGTCAAAGGAAAGACTACTGTAATGGGTTTAGAAATGTTTTATACACATAACATAGACCATATTCAGCCTGCCCCGGCTCCCCCTGTAATTGAGAAATAATAAAACATAAATAAATAAATAAATAAAAAGAAATTGATCTTAACTTTCAGGACACTTCATGACCAAGCTCTCAAATACATATTGGACCTTTTTGAGCCTTTATTCCCCTCAAGATTTTGAAGTTGTCAAATCAAATGCAGTGGTACCAAATACCTATTTCAAAACCCATGAAGACTTAGCTTTTCAGGTTGTGGCCCAGAGGCTTTGGAATGCTCTCCCACCATCTCAGTGCTGCAGAATCAACAGACTATTTTAAGAATCATCTACAGATTTTTTAAGGCAGGACCTTTCTTTGTTTTTACATTTTTTATTTTGTTTTTCACTTTGAGTCCAATGTCTGTGAAATGTGCTATAGTTAAAAAATGATAAAATGTGCTGTAAAGGGATTCTGTTATCTTCACCATTGATTTATGCAGCTCCTCCTATTTCCAATTAGTTTGCTTCTCAGATTAATGGTCTCTGACCTGCCTGTATGGGTAAAAGCAACATCTTGATGGTCTGTGTTATACTCTTTTCAGTTTTATATGATGTACTCAACAGTGCACCACGAAATGTTATAATTTTGCAATATTGTTTTATGACTTCACTATTTCACTGCTTTAAACACTACATTATTATTCTAATTGGATGTATTTGTGTTTTTTCATTGTGTTATTTGGTTGCATATGTTATTTTTGTAAATGGTAAAGTGACTGATTTTATATAATGCTGCTTTGCATTAAAAGTTATTTTAACTATAGTCCCAATCACCCAATCGCACTCCCAAATGTGCACACATTAATAGACCAAAACATAGATAATTAGGCAACCTTGTATTAAGTGCCTTGCCCAGTGGCTCATTATTGTGTGGCAGGAGGAAGCTGTAAGTAAACCAACAACTTTCAAACAGCAGGACCTCTTAACAGCCATACACATTCACTGTTAATTACATTTCTGAGGCTTTTATTAATAAACTGTATTTTCTCTCTTTTTTTGTTTACCTTACTTACAGACTGGGTAATTTCTGAAAGCAATTAGTTACAAAACATACAATTCTGGGGTATTTAAAAAAAAGAAAAAACATGTACTTCTACTTTAAAAAAAAGCACTGCGCTTTTTGTTTCAGTCCACTCCATTAAATTAAAAAAAAGTATTGTGAAATTGAAGGTTTTAAGAACTACATAAAAAAAATTAACTTTAAGGTTTATGATTTTATTTTGCATGACACTGTATCTGTACTGATATGTACAATCATGTCTTTATTATCATTATTATTGTAACTAAACAAATGAAATCTCTCTCCAGATCAGTACCTGTATGTGGGGACATCATCCGACTTCCTTGGGAAAGACGCTACATTCACACGCTCCTTGGGTCCTCTGCCTGACCAGCACTACATACGCACAGACATCTCTGAAGACCACTGGATCAATGGTACACATAATTGCACATCTATGCGTTAACATAACGAAAACACCCAAAACTTGCTTTGGGTTTTCACAATAGTTTTAGCCTTTCTGTGGTCACAAAGAGCCTGCCTGTACCATTAGGATGGTTATTGGCATTCCAGAGAGAAGGAAACAGTCTACTTATTCATTGCACTGGAACTTTTATATGAATGCCACAGCTGAACAGGGGCCACACCTACAGGGGAATTTACAGTGTGTCACTAAGTTCACAGTCTAAGTCGAATGCACAGACACACACTCAAAACCATGCAGAGTCATCATGGAGCAGGGCGACCTCTCTGCGTGCACATCCTCAGTCTTAAGTGTTTTCAAACCACTGACAGGCTGTCATGTATCAACAGTTGTCTCCAGAAACTAAATCTTTGCACATGGTCTCAACATTTCACAACCACATGGTCAGGGATGTTTGGACTAATTTTGTCTGTCTCAGGCTCGTAGTCTCTTGGTGTGTGTAAACAGCATGTGCTGGTGGAGGGGCAGCCAGACAGCACCCCATATTCCTGCAAGCCTGTGCAACATCTTTTTCCCAATGAGGCATAAGTAAAATGACCTTCTGTCGAGCGTGTTAGCAACAGTTTATCAAGCTGTCCCAGTTGGAGAATCACCCTCTGGTGTTTGGCTTGGCTAAGAGAAGTTAAGCTAATGTTGATTAACTGTCATTGAAACTTTTTAACTTTTCGTCATGGGTCCCTCTGAATCTGGATATTTACGGAAATATGTCTCTGGTTCATTTCTCTTCCCTCTGATTTTTTGAAGGCTTTATTACCTTTATTGATCAATGTTTAAAAATGGGTGGAAACCATAATATTTTTCTATTACTTACATATGGCTTTGTGAAAGTAGTTAGTAAAATACAAAATATGTTGAAGTAATTAAATGATTTGTTAGACAGGAAAATCTTTCGGGTAAGAAATACAAACTCAAATTACATTTTTCTCTTTCTCTTCAATAAATTGGAGCTCACAGCACCTTTATAAATAATCTGAATGCGGATTCTGCAAGAGAAGGTTCTAGTCTTTTTTTTACATGTAATATTCTTACACAGTCAATAAAATTAATGCCTTTCAGTAACTAATAGTATGCTTTTATGATTTTCACGTGTGAAGGCAGGTATGCATCAACAAAACTCGTTTTTTTCATCATTCCTAAACTCTAGCCTATTTTTAGCTGCCTGGATATAATATACACATTTACCACAGTAAATTCCCTTTTACTTTACAAATTGTTGAGGGGTGGTTTATGCACTGCAAAAAGGTAAATCTAATTAAGTAATTTTTTTCTTAAAATAAGTGCATTTTTTTTCTTCCATTGAGGGGATGAGACATTGAAACGAGACAATTTACACTTAAAATAATAAAAAAGAACTGCAAGGTCTTATTTCAAGTGCATATTATCTAATTAACTTATTCTAAGAGTAAAGAATACTAATTCCATTGGCAAACGATCTTATTTTCCTGCTTTAAATTAAGAGTAAATTCACTTATTTCTAGATCATTTTTGCAGTGTGTAGAACTTCAATTCTTTTTTAGTAGCAGTGAGATTCCCAAAAGAGAGCCTTCAAACCTTGCAAGGGGTTCTGGGATTTTCCGCTACCTGATATTTGGTTTTAGTAAATAAAGCATTTATGAGGTAGATGGTAAAACCTGCAAGTGTCAGAATATAAAAGTAAAATATGTTTCACCAGAAATTTTAGGTTAAAATCTGTATAAATTATTGACCTCTTTCCACAACATAAAGAAAAAATGTTTTTAGGACTAATGAGCTGATGAAGTGCTTTTCCTTTTCATTAGGAAAACAAAAAATCTATATTCTAAAGCTTGGTTTAAGCTTGACGTTTTTGAGGTCTGCGAGGTCTGCACTGTCAAATTATGTAATTTTGGGCTTCCACGCCCTTCTTGTGGCATCCATGCAGACAATATTTCTGCACTGCACACCTAGGAAAATTTGCATCTATGCACAGATCCGTGTAGAAAACATTGCAAGCGAGCTGCAGCGTCTACTAGCGAGGGTTTGAAAATGAAAAAATCTGGGGACATTCTGTGATGTACCCCCATAAACATCACCACTATCAACAGATTGTGGAAAAACTCCTGGAAAAAAATTACTGTTGCTTTTGGACGACATGGAGACACTTTTAAAAAGTTGTAAACAACTGTGTTTTCTACTTCCTCATAAAGCAAGGTGTTTTCAGCTTGCCTTTTGTGCTAGACATGCCTCTCCGAAGCTGGCCAGAATGGAGGAAAAGCTGCACAGATTACACAGATTATAAATACTGCAAATACTGTGATGAGTGGCTTGTCGCAGATTGTACATGTGTCAAGCATAATGAGCCCTATGGACTGGCTTTTCATGTAAAAATGCAACTACTTAAGTGCAACACCTATATACATGTAAAAATAGTTTTTTGTCACCATTTTGTGTTGACAATGCTACGAGAGGAGAGAACACGAGTTGGATGGCTGTCAGCTTAAAGGGATCCCACTAAAGTGGGTTGGGAATGGAAGGGGGAACTATTTACTCCACTATTTACTCCACATTTACTCCACTATTTACTTCATGTTAACTCCACATTGGGGAGGAAGTGGGGGGAGAAAAAAAAGCATATTTCACACTTTATCCTTGACACAAGAAAATTTATATAAACACGAGACAAAAATCTCAGCAGAGGAGGAGAAGGCCAAATCCAAAATAACACATTCTACATTGTTTTGAGAGCAGGCTGCACAGGAATGTTCTGTCAGCCCTGAGTCTTTTCTTGCTGGCTCCACATGGCAAATCCAATATTCCAAATTTGTTGGGCTTTTCTGCCTTGAAGTGAGCGCGTACATCCAAGATATTATCCCATCTCAAGCGCGTGAACCGCTGCCAGCAGCCTGACCAATGCCAAAATTAGGGCAGACATCCTCTGTAATTGTAGATACATCAGGTATCCTCCGAATCCAAACAGGAGAAATCTCAGTGTCCTATTTCTGAAAATGCATACATCTTAGATATCCTCCACTGACAACATTGTAAAACACACCATCCTCCAAGCCTTCAATGAGTCCATTGTGTATGCCACAAAGTATGTCCCGGCAGGACTGGAAGGATCCCCTTTTCACTGTCTTCCAGTTGAAAAAAAAATATATCAGTTGCATTGAGAGACCAGCTGGCAAGATCCAAGGGCTCAGAAAAGACAAGAGACAGCAAAGCAGGGACAGATCAGTGAGTTGCAGGGCAGCAGGAAATTTCAAACATCTCCTTTCATATCAATCATTGTGTTCTCTGCCAATAAACAGAATATAAAATGTCATCATTATCTTTCATTTGATATAAAGTCAAATACTTTAAAATCAACACATTCTGCAAATAAAGTTATTTGCTCACTCAGAGAAATTACTCAGTTTAAAAGCGAGTAGACAGCACAGCAAACTTAAGGTAAAAGAAGCAGTAGTTAACAGCTACCATTGGGCATACTGTGGTTTTAAAGCCACCTTGAGATTGAACTTAATGGAGAAACCATTATCTGAGTCTTATCTTCTCTCTTCCTTTTTTCTTTCTTCTGTTTCTGCAGAGGCCAGATTTATCTCTGCTCACTCCATCGCTGACACATACAATCCTGATGATGACAAGATATATTTTTTCTTTCGTGAAGCGTCATGGGAGGGCAACGACAAGAGCATCCTCTCCCGTGTGGCTCGTGTGTGCAAGGTGAGCTATTACTCAAGGAAAGTGAGGACAGTGGGAAGTTCTTTGAAGAAGCGGTACAGTGCCTTTCATAAGAATTTATAGCTTGTGAATTTTTTTATTATTGTGCTCTTTTAAACCTTAGATTTCAATGTACGTCATTGACTTGTAATTGTTAATTGAGATAAAATCATGAATGACTTTCAAATATTTTAAAATGAATACAAATACCATACTTTTCAGATTTGTATATTTTTTTGTTTCTTTTTTTTTTTTTCGTTTTCTGTCCAGTAGTATAGTCTTCAGAACTGTTGTCTGGCAGCCAAGGAGAAGCTATATAGATTTGCTTTCAAAATCAAGTGCAGCTTTACAGCTTTCACTTTGTTGCTCTGCTTTATAAAGATATTAAAAATTGAATTAGAATTTGCCTAAGGGTTTATTCAAATTCAGGGGACACAGAGATCCAAATACATGAGAAAAGGCAAGAAAGTAAGGGAGAAAGATGGGGTAAAAGGTTAACAAAAGAGAAACAATAGAGGAGAGAATGAAGGCTACAGAGAATACAGAATAACACACAAGAAGTCTGTTTCTACACCAGCAGAGAGAGAGAAACAAAAAGCAAAAAACAGCAATGTATCAGTAACTACATACAAGACATATTTAGTGGCAACTTAAGCTTTTTTAGAGTATATCTTTAGGCTTTGTGTGTAAGTGTGCACTTGAATCCCATCACATGTGGGTATATGTGTAAGTGTTCTTTTGTTTATTAGGTTTCTCCAAAAGAGTGTTTAATTCAGGGCCGCAGATGTGAACCTGATGAACCGGTGACGAGGCAATGGTACTTGTCACCTACAGGGAGTGCGATGGGGTAGAAGATAGGCCCCACGTTTGGTGGGGTACAAAGGATGATCTAGTTGAAGGACAGGCCAAAACCCAGCCTAATAGATAAACAACCACACAGTAACAATCACGTTCCCACCATCACATGCACATAAATAGACAGTCACTGCACACACACCCAATGTAACACTTCCCATACAAACTCTATATGCCCATGCCTCAGATTGGTTTTTGCAAAAAATAAAATACAATGGATTTTCCAGCTGTAACTTGACAGCATTTAAAATGCTTTAGCAAGACAAATGTGTGTCGTACTAACTAGGGGTATAATATGTCATTCTGTTATTTAGTGACAATCAGGTTGTAAGATTAAATGTATTTTAAAACAGACAGTAAGAGGAGTAAATGTCCTCTATGTTGCATGAAGGAGCCATATTCACTCAATATCACAAACAGATAGAGATCTTTGAGCTTGTTTTAAAGGAAGTGTTTTATGTATCCTGGAGAAAAAAAAGGCATTATAAATACATTTGTCTTTATCTGCTTTGCTTAAAGCTAGCACATGGCAGAATGCCGCTTATAATGTTATTGCTGTCAACTTTATATCATATCTAAACATATTCATTACATGGCTTCTATAGGAAAAGCTTAATATAGTCTCCTATGATATTATGATAAACACTTGTTTCTTGCCACTTAGCTCCTTAAAAAAACTACAAACTTTTTTTTATGCTCATGCATGCCAGAGATTGTAGCTTAAGAGAAAACATTTTACAACCAATGCAATTAATGGTTCAGGCTTATAACTAAGAAAGGGGAAGATCAAAATAATGTTATGCAAGGACAGTTTTAACATGTTTCCTTTTTAATTAAAGGTTAACTGTCAAAAGAAATTAAACATATCCTCACACTTTAGTAAAAGTGCTTAGATTTTAATTTGCCACAGCAATTGTAATTAACTGACATAGCAGTTTGCAATCAGCAAGTAAAGATCTATTGCTTAGACTTTAGAGGAAAACCTTTTAGCATGCTAATCTCTTGGCCAAAATCTATAAGGTAGGCTTGAAGGAGAGTCATTTGAATTACAACCCTGTTTTTCTTCCTCTACCATGTTTTGCCCTGATTGACTTCTTTTTTTTAACTATACCTTCCCTGTTGGTGGATGACTCTCCTTCCTTGTAAAAGGATATGGCTGAGGGCTTTTAAGATTACTTCTTTCTGATGAGTCTCTATGTGGAACATCTTCATTACGTGTTTGCATTTTTGGACTGAGGCCCTCAAACTTTGTCTGGTTTTTAAATGTACGAAACTCTTAGCATTTTTTGTACCTTGTCAACTTACCTCTCAGTGCTTTACCATGAGCTACTTATGAGTGCTTTTTAAAGTAGCAAAGGTTGCAATTTAAAGAGTCATTTATATACTAAGAGGAAACATGAATTGTTTTCAGAAATACCTCTTAATTTTAGAACCATCCTTAAAGAACAACATTTTGTGTCTCTTACCCAAAATTTGTTCTTTATTGCTTCTATAAAAAAAACAGGTATGGTTTCTGCTAACTATGTAGTGGTTCTAGTAAGGCCCAAAATCTAATAAATCAATGTTATTGAAAAAATGCAAAACTGCTAAAAAAAAAGTGTATGTGAAAAACACAGATAAAAACACAAAACGTCAGGCAAAGGTACTTAAAATAAGTGAATCATTTGTACATGCAGCAAGATATTTCACCAGACAATATTTCTTGAATTATGAATATAGTAGTTGTATTATATGACATAGACAGACTTTATTGTCATTTTGTTCACACAGTGTATACAAAAAGAAATTTCGTTCAGTACAGCTCTCAAAACATTTCCATTTTTAAAGTGCAGCAGTGATAACATATAAGCAGCAGTTATAAAATTTAAACATAAAACAATGTATATGATCTACAGATTCCAACTATTCTGTGTTTTTTTTTTCTTTAAACCCCCTTTATACAACATTCAGCAGTCTAGAATTTGAATTGGCTTTTTAAATTAATAAATCATCTCTTAAAACAGCATAAACTAACATTTCTAAATCTAAGGTCTTTTATCCAATCATTATCAAATAATTTGATCATATGTTTTTACAGCAGGTGTGTTCAGTCCATTCAAATTAATGGCTGCCTTCTAGGCCTCTGTAAGGCTGCATGACATCCTGACAAAGGATATCCCTTTAATTCAGGGGTGTTGGTGAAGGGATGCATTTCATGTATTCTCCATCATCCACTGCAACTTGTTGCCATGCGGCAGTCATCACTCAACACATTCAGGATCCATCTGCCATACCTTGAAATGACCAGATCTGCTTTACTCCACCCATTTCTGACTTCCCATCCGGCTCATCTGCTTGTTAGAAATTGTATCATGTCGCTTCGTCATCAAGTGTAAATATACTTTTTCGGTAAATCTGATGCCCAATTTAAAGGAGCTGTCTGTCATGCTGCAATGGAACAGAGTAGGAAGGAATTATGTCACTAAGAAGGTTTCTATATATGATGGAATGAAGGATGCACAGACAAAGAAGTCTGTGTGAATGAGAGGGAAGGATTGTAGCACTCAAGTTCTGGACTTAGAGAAAAAATATTTGTGTTTAAAATAGTCTCAAACTGCAAAATAGTTAATAAAGCATAGGATTGATTGATAATGATAACTGTTTACGATATATTTTTACAATTGTCCATTTTCTATCCACTATATGATTCATCATCTTTGTATTAATAATCTCATGGTTCTTGCTTCACTTTGTGCCATGAAACAAACCTTGCCTAGTGATTTCGAGACAAATATTGATTAACCTTCAGTGCTTGTCAGTTTCAGATCATCACTGACCACCCATGTTTAATAGATGTAATAGTACTATAGTCAAAAGGTGGAGCTAATTCTTTGTTTGTTCTGTGATCGATATGCTGTACAGGTAAACACATCAGAAGTTAGAGTCTATCTGATGATCATAACAAATGATGTTCTGCTATACAATTAATTATATATTTGTGACCTTACAAAAATGTTTTTATTTTCTGCAATAATTTTCTGTTTTGATTATTTAGCATATAACTGTTACCATAATGACATTTAATTGAATATAAATACCAAGTATATGTTTTTCAAATTTAGACAATAATATGAAATTATGCATCTACTTATTTACTCAGAATGATGTCGGTGGGCTGAGGAGTCTAACCAGTAAGTGGACCACCTTCCTCAAAGCCAGGCTTGTGTGTTCTATTCCAGGACCAGATGGTGTGGACACACATTTTGATGAGCTCCGTAAGTGACTATGTGATTTAAAAGTGATCATGACAATAGAACAGCATTTATCTTCTAAAAGAGTCCATCTGTGAGGAGTTAAGTGAAGTAATAACTGGATAATCATAGGTGCTGTGGTTAAAGTGTTAATATAATAGTCTGGTGATGAGGACTGTACAGCATCTTTCAAAATAACCGTTGTGTTTCTTTACTTTATTGAAGAGGACATCTTTCTGCTCCATACCAGAGATGACAAAAACCCCATAGTGTATGCAGTCTTTTCGACTTCCAGGTGAGACAGCTTTCTTTGATCTTTTTTTTTTACTGCAATTTTTAAAAAACATCATCTTTCACCCTTTGCTTACATCGCTCTGTGTTTTATGTTTTCTTTAAGTTCCATTTTCCGGGGCTCAGCTGTATGTGTATACAGCATGGCAGACATAAGGGCGGTGTTCAATGGACCATACTCCCACAAAGAAGGGCCAGACCACAGATGGGTGGAATACGAGGGGAGAATACCATATCCCCGTCCTGGAATGGTATGCTGTCCAACACATGGATGAATATATAGAGAAAAATTAGGTCCTTTTAAGCTCCAGATTTTATTTGGACCTGTTTGTAAAAAAGAATCCCCAGCTTTCTTTTAAATCACAAAATAATAAACATGATCTAATCTACACATTCAGGATTAATACAGAAGACCCTGCAGGGTATGCAGCAGCATCTGCTCACCCAGCCTCATTATAAGTGACCCAGCCTTGGCTTTCATGAGGTGACATGACATGTTAATCAGGAACTCGCTTAATTTGTTTAAGAATTCTAATCAAGGCAATGAACAGGATGCATGGGGGATTCTGTGCTTTATAAAACTCAGATGCAATACTGAGTGAGGGCTCAGTCTGAAATAATGCACATAATGAAGCAAGGGAGGGGGCTGGGGATGGAGAGGCACAGATGTTTCACATTTATGCTCTGTCATGCAGTTAGAATTTTTACCACTAGATGGAGACCCACATAAAGAAATACTGAGAGAGTTAGGATAAGATTTATGTTGTTAAACTCACAGTGGAGAAATTGTTAATAGTTTAAAAACTATACAGCAAAATTTCACCCTATTTATGAACAAAAGAACATTACAGCTTTCTTTTTTTTTCTTTTAGTGTCCCAGCAAAACATATGATCCCAGAATCAAGACCACCAAAGACTTTCCAGATGAGGTGATCAGTTTCATTCGACTCCATCCTCTGATGCACCGCTCAGTTTACCCTTTGACTGGGCGGCCGGTCTTCACACGTGTCCGAGTGGATTACTCCTTGACTAACATTGTGGTGGACAGGGTTTTGGCAGATGATGGGCAATATGAGGTCATGTTCTTGGGAACAGGTAAGACACTTTTCTTTTTAGAAACACCAGAGGGCAGAGTAATTCTCTACCACAGATTTCGGTGCAGCAACAACTACTGAATTGCACAATTGCACATGTATGTTACTGACAGAAAACATATGTTGTTGTTTGAGATTCATTGATGTTAAACTATCAACTATTTTTACTGAGTATAAAAAAGATCCTTCACACAAGTCTGTTTTACATAATAGATATGGATAAATATTTTTGTTAAATGATTTGGTTGAATTGATCTTTTTTCACTTTGTTTCTATAGATGCTGGTTCAGTACTGAAGGTTGTGAGCATCACCCAAGAGAACTGGTCGACAGAGGAAGTAATTCTTGAGGAGCTTCAGGTCTTTCAAGTACGTCTGACAGCTTAATTATTGAAACAATACATTGCAGTATCCACTGCTGCAGACCTCTCATATATTCCTGTCTCTGTTAATAGTGAAGCTCATAAAACCACAAAAGGGTTGGCATGGCCTTGTAATTGAAATTTTGCAAGCAGGCAGATTTATTAATCTGTTTAACAACAACATCATATATTATTTGTATTAATGTCAAACCTGCCAGTGTTATATTAATGTAAAAATTTGATTTATTTATCTTTTTTGTTTCTACAGGCGTCATCTCCTATCTTAACATTGGAGCTTTCGTCTAAAAAGGTCTCTTTTCCAGTTTGCTCTCAAAGTCTTACATTACATGTCCACAAAACGTCTCTGTTCTCTGGTTTAATTCACACCTCATGCTTTCAGTCTGTCTCATGATGCATGCCTGATATGTCACAAGACGTATTTTTATTTGCCCTTTGTTTATACATGCATTCAGGTTGACTCCCTGTGTTAGACAGTTCTCCTTCTGCAGCTCTTTCACTCTTCCGTCTCATTACTTTGGGGTCAGAAGTGTCAGCAGACACTTCAACCCCAATCACAATCTTTATTAATCGTGAGCACTGTTTGATCTCTTTGCACAGCTTGCCTACATTTTAGTGTTGTCGCACATCTCAGACCACTTCTTTTTATTTATTAAAAATATATGCTTTGAATAAATAGGATTTCTTATCACTAACAAACAGATAAATTGCTATTGGAGAGTGCTTTACTTTTTCTTAGTTACAAAGTAACTGTTTGGCAGCTGTCCAAATGCTTTTTAAATGCATGAATTCACATACAATTGAAAAAGTACTGTAAAAACAAAAATTAGACTTGAAAACTAAAATATTAGATCTACACACGAAATATATACAAAGGAAAACCACTGCGATGGAGAAATGCTGTTGTAACAGAAAATATAGAGATGGAAATTGAAAAAAACGCTACAAACACTTCATAATTATACTAACACAAAGAACACATGCAAAGGAAAAATGATGCTTGTAGCAAAAATAACTGAGTGTTAATAAAAGCTGAAAACAAGCTTTTCTCTCCCTTGTGCTATGAGGGCCAGACTCTAAATAAAGGCATACATGGAAATCTCAGGCAGATTGTGTTAAAAAATAAATAAAAATAAAGGGTTTCTTTTTCTTTTGCTCCTCCAAATGTCCTTTGTATTTTTGTATTTTCGATTCTATAAGTAATTCCTAGTGATGTCTATGGTCTTGTCCCATACAGTATGTCTTGAGGATTGTCTCCCCCTAGTGGCCTGGAGCACTTTCATAATGCAGAGATCTTGTTGGGATTTTCGTGAATTTTTTGAAAAACCCGCCCTCTCCACCTGAAATAAAATGCACATGCACAACCTTGTACCTGCTCTTGAGAGGGAACGCCTATTAAACATTTACGATAGCATGCACAAGCCTATTTCTCCTTGTGCACGCTCTGTTTAAAAGTTGCTATTTGAATTGCTCATACATGCTTACTTTCCAAAAGAAGATTTGCGATTGTTCCACTATGTCAGACTCACCACCGTTAAGTGAAACTGTGGATGAGCATGTAGAACGGTCTTACGTAAACATATCACGGAATGATTGACTATTAGAAGGACCACTTATTTTGACGACACAGCCGGAAAAGAACATGCTCCTCTATACCTTTAACTCACAGTTGTTTTTGCAACTTGCAGGATTTTCCATTTTCATGTCTTTTGTGGATTTGTATTAGCATCCTTTATGTATTTGCAGCGGGTTTTGTATTTTCAAGGTCTGTCCACTTTCCTGCTCACTAATTTCTGGGATTACATTGTTAATCATTTGCATGTGCTAGTCTAACTTTTGTGTTTTCCATTCTCATTTTTGTGTTTTGCATGACTTTTTGAACTTGCTTTACATTCATACATTTGCATGTCATACGTACCCCTTTGCCATTTCTTTTTTATCACATTTCTGTATGAATACATTAAAATTCCCAGCTGGTAGTGATTTTTTTTATTTTTTATGACAGGGTTAAGATTTGGACTTATTTTAGAAGCTGCATATTTTTATGTTTTGTGTAACAAAACGAGTTTGAATAGGTCTTTTAGGCAGTTATTTTAATGAAGAGTCCAAATATCTACAATTGTCATCTGACTAAATTTTCTGTCATAAGAAAAAAACTGATTAGTTTCACTGTTTTGTAACAACCCAGAACAAAAAACAAAAAAAAAGTCATAAATCATAAAATCATAAACTGGAAAATACTAAATACCAGTATCCTTGTTAAAAGTAAGCTGAGTTTACCTCTGCTGACATTAGAGTGATTCCCAGCTCCTAAATCAACTCCATCAAACATTACAAAATGCTTTACATGTACAGAAAATAATTACATTCTGTCTGTCTGTCTGTCTGTCTGTCTGTCTGTCTGTCTGTCTGTCTGTCTGTCTGTCTGTCTGTCTGTCTGTTTGTCTATCTATAGCTCTGAAATCTATTAAATATGAAAAGATCTATGCTAAGATCTAAGATCTTTAAATGTTATGCTAACACAAATCAGATCTTGTTGTTTTTTTTTCTTTTACAAGTATGTATAACATTTTCTGTTGTCATAAAACCAGAAAGACAACAATAATAAAAAAAAAAAATGGAAACCTCAAATTAATCTTACGTTTTAAGATAAGTGACCTTAAGTTCAGTGTGTTGTTCTTGACACAAATTAAAATAATGCTTTTGATTTTAGCAACAACTTTATGTGGGCTCCAGAGAAGGGCTTGCTCAAGTTTCCCTCAGCAGATGTCACCTGTATGGCCAGGCTTGCGCTGAATGCTGTCTTGCACGAGACCCCTATTGTGCATGGGATGGGCACTCATGCTCACGATACGTCCCGGCATCTAAGAGGTAAGAAAAAGAGGAAATTATTTGCAGCTGTGGAGCCCTTTTATCTTTGGGCTTTAGAGTCCTCAAGAAAATAATTATTTACATTATTAAACATCTTAAACGGAAGACAGCAAGTATTAACAAGCAAAAAAAAAAAAAAAAAAAATTAAATTTATTTTAACCATCTACATTATCTTTAAATTTATGCTTTATACCATATTTTTAGAAATGTACAGGCACATAAGACAAAAACTAAAAATAAACTTATTTGCATCACACATGATGTCCTACTGCATAATATAATACAAATTTGATAAAATGATTTGATTAAAATATGCTATAGTTTGGCTTTTGTTGAGGTAGGTGTTATCACACACATTCACTCAGCATCACTAGATTTAAACAAGCTGTGTGTGTTGTTTTTGTCTGTTTATGTTCTTTGTCTTTTCATGCATGTGTCTAAGATCTACAGAAACACTACCCAACAGTTATGGGTCACTCTGCCATATTATTAGACAGCAGGGATGTTGTTTTTGTTTGGGAACTAGCGGAGGCCTTGCTTTGTTGGTCTCCGGTCCTCTTTGAAAGGAGATCTACAGTGATTATGTGTAACAGATGTCCCAAGGGGAAGTGAAGGAAGAAATCAATACAATCTAAAGATCCCAAGTGACACTGCACAAGAGGGGGATATTAAAGTTTGTGTCCTTTCTATCTTTCAGAATTAGAGTGAAATTGTTTGACAATAAAAGTAGACAAAATCAAATATGCTTAAACTAAGATATAGAATAAATTATATCAAATGGGGAAACTGCACTTAGTAATTCTTTAATGCTAGTGAGCCATTAGAAATGCTCATACTCGTCATCTTCCACAGTCTCAGCAGAGACTCCCAGACTTCCCTCTCTGCAGACACATCCTGCAGCTCTTCTGTGGAAAGCCTGAGGCCCTCCCAGGTCAGAGACACAGTCCCTCCAACGTGGGGGGTAGTCCCGTGGTCTTCCTACCAGTTTAACATGTCAGGAATATTTCCTGAAGAAGGCATCCAGGGGGCATCTGAAAAAGATATCCAAGCCACCTCAGCTGACTCCACTTGATGTGGAGGAGAAATGTCTCTACTCCACGCCTCTCATAGTGACTGTTCTCTGCACCCTATCTGTAAGGGAGTGTCCTGCCACCCTAAGGAAAAAGCTAATTTCTGCCACTTGTACCCAGGATCTCGTTCTTTCAGTCATGATCAAGAATTCATGATGATAGGCGAGGGTAGGAACTATAGGGCTGAAACGATTAATTGGATTAATCGTGATTAATCGATTTCTGAAATAATCATCAACTAATTCAGTAATCGTTAAATCGTTAAATGGGGTATAAGCATGCCTTTAGCTTACAGAGCAATTATGAAACGCTGGGTTTCAGTGGTGGGTGTCCGTTCCTTCCAATCATGTACCTGGAATTGTCACTATCGTTTCCCACATGGGCGTTGAAGTCCCCAAGCAGAATGATGACATCTTTGGGAGGGGCTCTATCCAACAGCCCCCACTCAGGGACGCTAAGTAGGCCTTGTAATCGATATTGTAGTTTAGCCCATAGGTCAAAACAACAGTCAGAAACGTCCGCCCCCTAACTGAAGATTAAGGGATGCGTCCCTCTTGTTTACCTAGATAAACTCCAACACAGGATGGCTAAGCTGGTGGAAGACCACTGATCTCTATTTATGGATTGCTGATTGCCTGAAAAAAGTAAAGCCACCGTCCGCCATGCTTATACTCCCCACTCCCATGGAGACGCGCAATGTGTAGCAGTGTGTATGCCTATGTGTATATCATTTAGCTGCAAAAACAAGCAGTTTACTGCCTGTGGGAAGTCATTTGACAGGTAATTTTACTGTCAGTGAATGTTCTAACATAGAAAATCCACATATATGCCGATGTATCCTATAGTATAGTATGTAGTGTAACATTAGTCTGACTATCTCGGACTGACTCAAAGACATTGACTGAGTTATCCATTGACATTGTGTCTAATGTTAGAAAATAGAAAGTAATTCACATGAAATGTCAACATACTCATCCACATGAAGTGGATGATGCCATTGTTCCTGTAGTGTTAGTTGTATTTCTCATTTGAAAAATGTATGTGCTGAAAAATAAATATATTGGATGTTATTTGGAGGAGAAAAAAAACAACTCAAACATTTGACAGATATTTAAATATATATGGGTAAAATGCATGTAGTTTTTTCATATTATCAGATGTAATTACCAATTAACAACACTTTTGGCACATCTGTATTATTATGCTTCATTAACACATTCATTTTCTAGTGATGGGTTTGTATAATATGTTATATTAGATGATTTAGAAACTTTCCTTGACTTCATAATGACTATGCAATGTGAAGTGCCTATTTTTTTATTATAAGTTAAAGCAATTTACTTATGCAATGAAACAGCAAGTGTGTGTCCAAGTGATGAATTTATCTTTATTTTAAAGGTCTTAAGTCCCCCTGAAAATGAAAACATCATTGCTGTTAGAATCGCACATAACTAGGGAGTACCAATATGGCGGCCGGTGGCTTCACTTTAACCCCGTACTACAGTACCAATTGGCAATGAGCAATCTAGTGAATAAATAGAGATCAGTGGGGAAGACAAGCAGATCCACTCCTGCCCTACGTCTCTACCCGCAGGCCACTTTAAAGTAGAAGAGAGTTAAGCCTCCCTCAACGAGCTTGGTTCCAAAGCCCAGGCTATATGTTGAGGTGAGCTCGACTAATTTTAGCCGGTACCGCTCTAGCTCCTGCACAAGCTCAGGCTTCATCCCTGCTAGTGAGGCGACATTCCATGTCCCCAGAACCAGTTTAAGTATTCAAAGATCAGGTCGTCGAGGCATCCACCTCTGACTGCTGCCCAATCCTTTTTGCACTGGTCCCTCATGGTTCCCTTCTGCAGGTGATTGACCCACTGGGGGATGGCCTTGCCTCACTTCTTCAGGCTGGTCCTGGCTGGGTCCCCATTAGAAATAAGGATTCTAATTGTCATTACATTTTATTTAAGTTCCATACATTTATATTTGTGTTGGAAATGTTTTCAAAGCCAGGAAACAGTATTTCATAAAGTTAGATAAAGCCATATTACAAACTTTGACAACTTTACTGTCCTCCATTTGCAGTACAGTAATTGATGAAGGTGCATTTCCACTTTAGGGACTTTATGCTTTTGTCAGTGCAGTTCTATGGGGCAGTTCTTTGCAGTATCAGCCACTGTTTTTAATGCATTTTGTTGTGAAACAAAAGTCAAAATTTGTCCCAGTAAATGTCCTTGGTTTAAAGGAAGCAGATTTGAAATGACTGCCATAGTTCTTGTGTTTTTTTTCCATTACTGTATATTGAGTTAATAACTATAAGAGCTTATAAATAATGCCTTTCTACAAATCTGCCCAATGTTCTAAGTGAGACTTAATTATATATTTCAACACACCCTACAACACAAGAAGAGGGAAAACTGTTTTGTAGATGAATGGCAAATGCTAGTTGAATATTGTTTTGCATTCATTTTAAACGGTTTCTTTGCAGACGTTCTAGAAGACAGGACATCAAAAATGGAGATCCTGCCATTCAGTGCTGGGACTATGACGACAGTATGTAGACCTTATGCTGCTTAGTGACATGTGCTAGATATACGTTTATGTTTTCTGTATTTTTTCTTTTTTTCAGATCATGGTGGGGGCAAAGTGGAGGAGAAAGTTCTTTTTGGAGTTCAGAACAACTCCACCTTTCTTGAATGTATCCCAAAGTCGCAACAGGCCAAAATCCGATGGTATAAGCAAAATTTGGGATCTGAACACAGGGAGGAGGTCAGTGTACCTTCTCATCCATATTTTTACACAATTAAGCCTAGTACTCATGTATAAACAGTTTTAAATGTGCTCAACTTACTATTCTATATTCAAGCTCTCCAAAATTTGTCTTTGTTTTGGTTTAATATACCTTTGGGTTTTTTCTTATTTTTCTTCTGGATTAGTAAGTATGATAATTATTGACTCAATTGTTTTAATATAATATTATTAATTATAATTATTAGTGTTAAAATATTCATATATATTTTTCATGACCTTGAGTCTAATTAGCTCTGAAATCATGGTAAGAACTGTTTCATATCTTGTTTATGGCCAACTATTATTGGTGTTTATTCATTTCTATATTGTTTCAACTTCTTCTATCCTTGTGAGGTAAGACCTGACTTGATATCCAGCCAAAGAAATAAAAGAACAGCATTAAGCACTACAAAATGTTTTTTAGGGAGTGAATTTGAATTGACATTTAACTCTCACTACTTATAACGTCAGTGATCTTTCCCTTGCAGAATAGAAAGTAATTATTAATAATGTCCTAATTAAACTAATTAGGAAACAGCAAAAAAAAAAAAAGAAAAAAAGAAAGCTTTGAAAAAACAATGACAAAAAAATGAAATCTTTTTCTTGGTAAAAAACAAAGGTTTTTAAGTACACAACACGAGATGTTTTGTTCAGAGAAAAAATGTATAGCATGTTTTTAAGAAAAAAAAACTGTTTGGTGTTTTCTATATAATCTAGCTGTAGTGTAGCAAGATATATAGAAAAACTTAAGCATAATTAACATATTTTATTCATAAGTATACTTTACATGAAAGCCATTGCTTCTCAGGATTTTTTTTTTTCATAAGTCTGGATCATGGCAATACAACTGTGGAACATCAAGAAAAAATCTACTGGAACGACTGCAGATGTGGAAAACATAAGAAGTTTGAAATCCATCTTTCAAGATATTTTAACATCTAAGTTTTTGTCAAAGGCTTTCAGCTTTTAATGTAAACCTAACAGCTGTTTCTTAACCATTGCAATATTTCAAAACGTGTGGTGATAAAGCACTTAAGACAGAGATGCATTGAAACAGGTGATTTAAAGCATAGAAATAAATGATAGTTTTCCCTTTATAAAACAAGTGAAATGTGCTTATTAAGCCCTTATTTCTTCTCTCCAAACATTCAAAACATTTTGCTGCTGAACACCTCCTGAGTAGACCCACACTGTCTTCATCAGTGTCCACAGTTCTCTCTTTTCTGATTTACCCCATCAGCTGTCTGCTTCCCAGGAGCGAGTCTAAGTGCTGACAGGTGCAAAGAACACTAAAGATTCATGTGTTGCTTTGCAGACAGACTCAGACGTAGGAAAGCACTTTGTTTTTTGGTCTTTATTTGTTTTTTTGTGGTTCTATGTTTATCTTTGCACCTCCCATAGCGGAAACCATAACAGAGCACTCCCTATGGACAGCCATGTGTTTTGAGGTAATAAACACAATGGGGTGTTTAGATTGTTTGTGTGTCTAGGCATGCAATGATATGTGACCCACTGCTCTATAGACAGAGTGATGACATATATGTAGGGATTTCTTATTCTTTAGGTTTACCTTGTTCAGGAAAGAAATGCAACAAAAATGAAATACATAATATTAGAAAATAATGGAGAATTTATTAGTCACTATATGCAACATCCAAGTATGTGGTTGTATTTATACAACATGCAGGTATACAACATGCAGTTATCTACTGTGATAGAAGTAGTCTTGATATTTAAAAATCTTTAGATTAAATGTATAGTAAACATTTAATGAGTGGATGTTTAATAACACATTATATAACACACTGACACATATCATACGAAAAAGAAACCTTTAAATTAAACAAAATCTAGATATACTGAATATGGCAATTTTTCCCTAAAGGTGATAATTTCACTAAATTTTTTAAAATTTAATATTATTGTATTTTTTATTTTTTGACAAAAGATAGATAGAGTTTGTACTCATAACATAGTTGTTTTGATTTAAAATATTAAACTGTATGCTGCTTCAAAACAAGAACATATGATATGGTATTATTTAAAGTGAATTTGTACAGGTACATCAAATAAATCTAGATATAATTAAAATGTGTATTTACTTCAGTAGTATAATCCATTATCAGTTCACCATAATCCTTACTATAATTAGCCAACTGTTCACAGAGGACTTTATGCAAAAAGTACGGTAGTAGGAAGTAGGAAATTTACAAAAGGAAGACAAAGATCCTAGAAAGGTTTGAAACTCATTTTAGAGTCTGGGGAAATTTGTAATGTGTGAACTAATACTGGAGTAAATATACAATAACTATTGATTTTATATAAAACATTTAAATTTCAGTCATAAAATATTTTTTTAGGATTGTATAAAAATATTGTCAAATATTTTTGTCAAAGTATGCAGAGAAAACTCCTAATGTAAATATAAAGATTATAGACATGGATATTAGAAAAAAATATTCAAATTAATTAGACTTTAGAGAACTAACACCAGTCTGTCATTTTAAATTTTCAAATGAAATAGTTTAACATGTACTGGTGGTGGTTTTGAATTTAAAAGTGAATATACATTGAGTGCCTTCAATGGGAATTGCATAAGGATATGCTAAATTGAATTTGATCGTATGTTTTTTTTATTTATTTTTTTTTAGTAATACAATTTTGCCTGTTTCCACTAAAATCTCTGTAGTTATAAGCATTCTTTGCTCATTGGATTGTTTTACCGTCCTGGCAAACCCGTTATGTGTGACTCATTTTGGTTTTGGTACTTTGTTTTCTTCTCCTTTTCATTTTGTCAGCGCAGATTCTCTCTGTGTTTTCCTGCTGTGTTTTGGGGTCTTAATAGAGGCCCCCTCCGCCAGCTGCACACTGCACCTGCATTATAATGTTCACTGTCCTCATGTCGTCCCTTGTTTTATCCCACCACTAAAAGTCAGCTATAAAAGATGATACCTGGAAGAAATGTATCTCTTCTTCTCACAACAATTTTGCATGTGTATGTATCCACAGTATCCCCATTGTGGGACAATAAAGGGGTTTTTCTATTTTTTCATCCCCTGGAGCCTGTAATAGCTTACTATTGGAAAATAACTAATAAGAAAACTATGAATGATGAATAATTTCATGCTGTGTCCTCATTAGATAGAAGCCTGCCCCTCCTTAAACCATGTGAAATATATTTGATATGTTTGCATAACAGAAAAAAAGAACAAAAAAGCACATGCATAGAGAATGCCTTTAAATGTAGAATTCTAACCTCATCTATTATTTTGGAGTTGCATGGTTTCCAAATCAACCACCAAAATGCAAACATAAAAGCACACATGGAAAACACATAAAAACAGACCATCTGCATTAGTTTATGTATCCTGTGACGTTTAAAAACAGGTTCTTTTATTTTGAATAATCAAGGAGTGGCGTTAAAGACCCGTAAATGAACAAATATGTACAAGTTAAAATGTATAAACAGTGACAGAGAAGGTTGTTTGTTTGTAGGTTTAAAGAAAAAAAAAAATCCTGTTTGCTAAATCGTTGTCATGTATTACTAAATAACAGTGTGATGGAAATAACTAGAGTAACAACAGCATCTGAATCTGATCCTGAAACTCACATTGGTTTCAGATATTCAGGACACCATGTGTTGAAACAAGATCACTTACATTGAGCTTTGTAAAGTATTTAGTCCCTTTTATCTTCAATGCATTTATTGTGAGTTAACCAACATACTAACATAATGGGTACTTCACATGTATATTGTGAAATAAAAGGGAAAATATTACATTGGCCTTTAATATCATATCTGTTGATGTCAATGGCTATTGTGCAGGAACATAAAAAATATTAAAAACTTCAACAGGTATTTACACTTAAGCAAGGCACTGTAAACACACATTTTTACAAGGAAAATCGAGTCTGACAAACACCTTCTACAATTCTTAGCTAAATCAAGCAAGTTAAACCTACAAGGGTCATAGCAGGGCTGTGGGAGGTTTACTTAAGGAAGCCTGAAAAACACAACATGCTCCACACACACAAACACTATCTTACGCTTCCACATTAGTCATCCTAGCACAGCTTTGTTTTTTTAGATGTAGAGAGGAGCAATGCTATCCGATGAATCAGTTTGGAGGCCAAAGAAAAGAGGACTATAAACATTAACATGCTTTCTTAACACCTTAAAGAAAAACATGTATGCTTCCCAGCAAAAGAGAATGCTCATTATGAGCTCAATGAGCTCTCGAAACCATAAAGATTGGTTGGGTTTTCATGAACTGTATGCCAAAATCATCCATATTAAGACAATAAAAGACCAGAAATATTTCNCAGTGACGGCAAGGTCCATTTCAAGCTGTCCTTTTCAGAAGACTCTGTGTGGGAAGAACTGCCACAAAGAGTGCAGGTGCCAAATGGGCCAATGGCATGGATAAGTTTGTTTCCATGTGCTCTGCCAATCAAAGAGAGAAAGTTCCAGGACCTCCAGTCAATGAAACCCATCATGCCTGTCGAGTGTCATCACTTCTTTGACAATTTGCCACACTAATAGGCATCAGACAAAAACTCAGCAAAGAAGAGCTGGAAGGAGAAGTGGAAAAAATGCACATGCCTCCTCAGCATTATGTTTTGTTAGTTTGTGCTGTAAAATTGCCTAGGTCACAAAGGCATGTTCAGAAATTTGCCTAAGTCATTTAATTCTGTCATGTTCCATGTTTGACTGACCTTGCTGTTTGTATGTCAAAAGACATCTGTTGTTACAACTTTTTTGATAAAAATTGTTCGTAAATATCATTTATTCAACAAATGGTTCAGTTTTTTGTGTTTCCTGAAAAATTGCAAAAAATGACTTAGGCAATTATTTTAAGAAGGTGACGCTATGTAGGGGCAGTGATAGCCATGCTAACTATGTAGGGGCAGTGATAGCCATGCTAACTATCTAGGGGCAGAGATAGCCATGCTAACTATGTAGAGGTAGTGCTAGCCATGCTAACTATGTAGGGGCAGTGCTAGCCATGCTACTTCTGTAGGGGCAGTGCTAGCCATGCTAACTATGTAGGGGCAGTGCTAGCC